GTGTATTGTGTGTGTGGTGTGAGAGAAGACCCTGAACGCACACGCAGAGAGAGAGTTTCCATTTCTATTCGTATACTTCCTCCTGTTGCTGTTGGTTTCCTTTCAGTTTTATCTACTGCCTGATGAGTGTGTGTGTGTGTTGTGTGTGTGTGTGTGTGTTGTGGTGTGTGGTGTGTGGGTGTTGTTTACAGAAATATCTTTCCAGGTAATCAGTGTGGTGAGTTTCCGGCCCAGGGTGTTCAGATCAGCTGACGACTGTTTCTGTAAAAACTGTTCAAATAACAGGACTGACAGTACGCCAAATAACAATCACAAAGCCTTTAACACACACCACATCACACACGACACACGTTGTGTTTTCAGTTTTCAGTTAATTTTCCAAAAGGAGTACTGCATTTGATCGGTCGCTGTTTCGATCGCTTTTGCTGTTGGACATTGCTAACACCGCAAGCAGCTGTAAGTGTGTGTGTGTCTGGTGTGGTGTCTGTGTGTGTGTAGTTAGGCTGCTACGAACACCAGGCAGTGGTGAGCCGAGTTGCTTTCTTAGAATTACAGGGTCAAAAATGTTTCCACTGAGGAGAGGTGTGGACAGAGCAGAACAGTGGGTGTGTTGTGTGTGTGTGTGTGTTGTGTGTGTGGTATGTATGTATAGAATATAACATATGAACAGATATAGAAGAATATTAACAATCCTAACTTACGCAATAAAAAAAACCATGAATTGGTAGATTATGATTTTGTACTACATGCATAATTGTCTGTAGATGGATTAATGCAGCTCCTGATTGATTATCAAGCTACCATGTACCTACCCAGTAATATAATAGTAGCTGGAATTCGTCTATGTAGTTGTTCTTCCGATATATCAAATGTTTCCAACAATGTTCCACACTCGATAAATCTGTCATTGTTATCACGGTCGCCTGTCAATGGCGTCATATCCCCCTTTACGCCTGCGTCAGCGTTGGTGGTTGTCGTGCAGAAGCTGTATACATTTGCTAGTTTATCAGTCTGAAGCCACATTTTTTACGCATCCCACTGAAATTGTTTAGCAGAAATCACATCCTGGAGGGGGCTTCACAGTTTTGTTTAGTATAGGCATGTTGTTATACACATCTTTAAGGTGTGGAAATATGTGAAAAAACTGTGTGTGTTTTCTGGTGCCAGTTAAACAGAAACATGTGTTCATTTTGTCAGTCCACTCAGCAAAACGACCACCACACACACACACACACACACCCTTTATGTGACTCATCATTTCACTGAAGTGTGACTCAGTGATGTTGAACTACGAACTGATTTCAGTCACAAAACATTTGCTTGATATATGCTTCTGTTTCTGGACGTGAGTTGTTTTTACAGCTGTGTAATTGTTATGGCCCATCAATGGGAGTCACATTCTCCAAAATTACACATGCTAAAGTCATGGTACACAGGTTCCCCATGGAGATGTTTCAAAACGTCCAATAATAAACTAATTGTCTTTCAGAGACAGTTAATAAAGATTTGATTGAGTCAATTTGACAATAATACTAAGTTACAGAGGTCAAGAGAGATATAGGACAGAGGTCAGAAGTCAGTGCTGTACACTGGTCATAAGTCAGTGCTGTACACAGGTCAGGGGTCAGTGCTGTACACAGGTCAGGGGTCTGACTAGCACCCTTTGCAGACCACAAAGTGGATCACAGATTTACTGATGTTGAAATGGAGAATAAACATACTTTACACAATGTAAGCTTATGTAAATTATATTATGTAAAACAGGAAACACAACCGCTGTAATAAAAGAGAGAATCAAACTGACTGAATGTGTGAGTAGCCAAAAAATAAACATTTATTCTACTAACCACTGCTCTCAAATTAAACGTCATAATGAAACCATTGAAGGAATTAATTTGTACATTGTACATTTACCTTAAGACTGAGCAGTGGAGGTTCATATGTTACTGAGGTCATTCGGTTTATGAAGTTAATTTAGAACAAAGTTTCAAACATTTCTGACTGTTAAACAAAAAAATGTGACTCAAAGTGAATTCCAACCGACCGGCAGTATGTCGGTCTTCCTGTAGTAATTCTGTGTTGTATAGTAACGGTAATATAGACCTGTAAGTATGTTAAACGTCCAGTGTGTAACATTGAACAGAATCTATTGTCAGAAATGCAATATGATATTGATAGGTATGTTTTCATTATGGACAAACCAAACACTGATCAAGATAGGGACTTTCACTTTAGTTTCACCTACAGACTT